AATGCCATTGATACCTTGTCAGTTACCAGTATCTGTTGCAATGTGGGAATGGCAGTCAGATTAGAGTAGAGGTAGCAAGTGTAGACAATCCTGGCTAGTAGTTTTGATGTGAAAGGAAGTCTAGAAGTGGAGTGGTAGCTGAGAGTGGGGAGTGATGTGAGTGCAACTATGTTGTGTGATACTAGACATGTCCAATAAAGAGGGAATTGCTTGTGTTCCAGCAGAGAGAAGGGGTAGATAAAGAAGTAACGTCTTGGAGCCAGCAGGTAGCATGGTGGTTAAGGGTGCTGGACTGTGACATGGCTGACATGGTTTGAATCCTGGACCTGACAGCTTGCTTTCTCACGTTCCCTTACTCTTTCTCCCTCTCTCTCTGCCCCTTTCTGGTCAAATTAAAATAAATAAAGTTAAATAAAATAAAATTTTTTTTAAAAAAAGAAGTAAATCTTGAGTATGCAACAGGAATTTGATCTAGAACACAAGGGAAAGAACTTGCTTTTGTTTGTAGCAAGGCTTATTTTGACTATGAGGAAAGAAGGCAGAGAAGACACAGGCATTTTTGCATATTTGCAGTTTGTCTTGGATTATTCTCAATAAATAATTTCATGAATTATTTGAGGTCATCATATCATTAGAAAGAGTGAGTTAAGAGAGGAGAAGATTGCATAAAATTTTATTGGAAATGGGAAGCTTGGATGAGAATGCAGAGCAGTGTTGGATGTAACTGAGGTATAGAGATGTGATCTTAAGGTAAAAGCAGGCAACACATACATGCGTCTTTAAAATTTTTTAAAAATTATTATATTTTTTACTTTTTAAACAAGAGAGAGGAAAAGAGAAAGGGAGAGAGACAGAGGGTAGGTGTTTTTGACAAGATCTCTGTCATGATCCTTTTGCCTCCGTTTCTCTGTTAGCTAATATTAAAAGCATCCAGGGACCAGCAGTTAGTGTAATGGCTATGTCACTGGACTCCCATGTAGTCGACTGCGGTTTGTGTCTTGGACCCCGGTGGCTTAAAACAGAGGGTAGGTGTTTTTGACAAGATCTCTGTCATGATCCTTTTGCCTCCGTTTCTCTGTTAGCTAATATTAAAAGCATCCAGGGACCAGCAGTTAGTGTAATGGCTATGTCACTGGACTCCCATGTAGTCGACTGCGGTTTGTGTCTTGGACCCCGGTGGCTTAAACTCACACTGGGCGCGTGTGCGTGAGTGCCCAAGATCCAGAGAGGAGAATGGAGGAGAAGGGATTGCAGTGTGGTCATCCGCCCTGGGGGCGATTTCTCACTTTCTGTCTCTCTGTCTCTTTCTTTCTGGCGAGCGCACGTGCCCTATAGTGAAAAACCTCTCAAAAAAAAAAAAAAGCATCCACAGCTACACCCAACATGTTCAGGTTGGCTCCGTAATTGAACCTGGGCTTCCTATGCAGCTTTTAGCCTTCTAGACAGTGGCACTATCTGGCACCTCTGTTGCTGGGCTGTGTCTTTCTTCAATTGGGTTCAGCTGTTCAAGTTCAGGCACAGAGAAAGCAGATGGCTAGGCTGGAATGACTCGTAGATTTCTAGACCTGTGTGATGTGAGAGTAGGACAAGGGAGCTGAAGTGTGGAAGGACTTAATTACAGTGGTGGAACATGGGACGTTCAGCTGGGAAGGAAGGGAGGAGACAGGCTCTGCTGATGGATAATGCAGCAGTGGTAGGAGTGACTGATCCAAGGTCCGTGTGGTGGAAAGAACATTAGAAGGGGTTGTAGAGCCTAGTGATAGAAGATAGTGGTCAGGAATTAGATGTTCTTTCCAGTTATTTGTACATATATTAATTTTTTTTATAGAAAAATTAATTGATTATCTACTCTTTGCCAGGTACTCATCATGGCAAATAAGTAGCAGAGTTTGCTGAAATGGAGGTTATATACCATAAGCAGAAGACAGACCATAGACTTAAATAAATTCAAGGACTAAGCTCTGAAAGAATAAGGTGAATAATGGGAAGATAAGGACAGGATATGCTATTTTAGATGGGTGGTCAGGAAGTTCTCCTAGTGGACGTGACAGCTAAGCAAAGACCTGAGTGAGATGGACAGTGAGTGGGTCACTCAGGTATCTAGGAAATGGTGCTCTAGGTGTAGAGCCTCTGAGGTGGGAGTGAACTCAGCATGTTCTAGGAGAGGCCGGTAGGTAAGAGCAGACTGAGGAGGGCGTAGGGGGTGAGAAGTAAGGGGAGGACTCTTTATGAGGAGTTTGATTTTACTCTATGGATGTTGCTTAGAAATCTGTTTTCAGGACGTAGTATAGTTCCCAATTATGACGAATTCAAGGGTGTGACATGGGGATAGGTTGCCACTGTAGGCTGGGAGAAATTCTGGCTGGAGGCAAAGAATCAGGGTCTCCAACGAGGTGTCCGCCTGATTGATTTGTACTCCACTGAGAATGATGATGGAAGTAGAGGTGGAAAGTAGGACAGTGAGTCAGGAGGTGAGCTATTAGTGAATGGCTTGCGCAGAGAGGGAATGACTAAGAGGTTAGTGGCTGGCAGAAAGGAGGAGTGATAATAAGTGGTCTGGAAAGTGGCTGGTCTTCAAACGAGCTAATGGCTTTGAAGAATACATCATTTGGAAGTGTTTGCAGGAATCAATAAGATTACCTGCCCACTTCCTGTCCCACAAGTAGGTGGAATTTGGCATAGAATGCCTCCACCTGAGAGGACTGCTGGCATGAGCAGATCCTAAAGGGGCAGCCAGGTTACTATCAATGCAGAGGTTAAATTTCCTTTAGAGAGAGGTTAGGACAGTGGTTCTCAACCTGGGCCTATTCTGATCCCTTTGCAGGGGTACATTTGGCAATGTCTGGAGCTGTTTTTTGTCTATTACACATGGGGGTGGGTGATATGCTGCTGGCATCTAATGGTAGTGGCCGGAGATGTTGCCAAAGGAAGAGGACAGACCTCCCCTCTCCAGCTCCACACACACAATGCAGAACCACCCAGCCCACAGGGAAATAGTGCTATGGTAAAGAAACTTTGGAGTAAGGGTTTAGGGAGTATTTGCTTGTCATAGAACTGGAGTTCTGTGGGTCATACTTCCCTCTCTTCCACATTGTTCTGTAAGTCCTTTGATAATGTTTGGCTTGATATGCACATACACATCTTCTCTGTCGCCTTCACTCCACCTATGCAAGAGCCTGAGTTCCTTATTATCTGTCATATACGGTATGAGTTGTAGGAAAGCACTAATTAGTTTTAGAGCTATTTTCATTATGAGATGAATTCAGTGGATATACCGTTCCGATAATTAATCACTTGAGAGTTGAGGGTTACGGTTTCCTAGGTATTTAGTTCTAGTTAGGTGCAAGCAAATTTGAGTTCTGTTGGGGGTAGGTTGTAGAGGAAAGGGTGGAAATACTTTATTTTCCTCAAAAAAAAAAAAAGTTCCTGAGAGACCACAGTATGTTCACTAATGACCTGAAAGAACAGAAAAAATAGAGAAGCTTCTTTTATCACTACTTTGACACTCCAGATATCAAAGCCAGACTTTGAGATTAGATTTGTTTCACAGGGAGAAATATGAAGAGGCCTGAAAATGGCATAACTAGTGTCCCAGTAGAATTGAACATTCACATACTTGAAGTTTAGTTGTTATAACGGAAGTATAGATCTGGCCTGGTTTTGCACAGTCCTGGGCTAAGAATAGGTTTTATATGTTCAAAGTTGCTCAAAACAAAACAACCAGTGAAAAATATGCAACAGCGATCTTATGTGGTCCACAAAATCTTACTTATAAAATCGTAAAATATTTATGACTTGGCTCTTTGCTGAAAGCGTTTGATGGTATAGACCAATAACCTCATTTATAGTTCTGAGTGTGATGTGAGTGAATCTGTCACAAGGCATTGTACTCACTCAGAAATCCTAGAAAACATTTATTGACGCTTCTTATGTAAGTGGCTAGGTTTATGAGAGTTTATGAGATACATGGGGCCTTCAGCCAGTCTATGCTTTAGTGAGGGAGGTAGACATTAAATAAATGATTTCACAACTAACTAATTCATTAAAATAATTCATTACACAAAGGAGCTAAAGGGTTCTTAGAGTGTGGAAGGGAATCACTGAATGGTTTTCTGGATAAGTGATTTTCATCTAAATTTGAAGAATGAATGTGATATTACAGAGAGGCGCAGCCAGCAGGACAACCATTGCCATAGAGATCTCCTATTTCCTCTGCTGTAGTTTGTGAATGTGGAAACAAGCCACCCAACTCTATGAGTAGAGAAGTCGTCATAGTAGAAGTAGACTAGGGGTTGTGCCATGGTTCTCAGACCTGGCTAAGGTAGGAGTCAATTGGTGACTTCAGTAAAGTACCGAGGCCTGAGCCCTGCTTCCTGCAATGCCCTTCTCTCCTGGGGATTCTAAGGTACAGCCGAGACAGAGAATTCCTGGGCTAGGCCTCTAGGTTCCTCAGTCAGTGTCTTGTCATGGTACCTCTCCTATCTCTTTTAGGGGAATAATAAAAAACATAGGTTCAGATTTACCCTAGAGCTGTATTTCCAAGGAGCTTCTGATAAGTTGGTGCCTTTGCCCGTTTCTCCGTTTCCCCTTCTCTGCACGTTGCCATGCCTGAAACTGTGAATGTCGGTCACTGACATTTTGAACCCAGATGGGTTTACTAATTGCTTCAATTCTGCAGGGTAAACACAGAGGAAGGAGGATTATGAGTTAAATGCAAAAGGGTGGGGGCATCTTAGATGGAAGATGGGTAGCCCATAAGTTGGTCCATGTTCTTTGAGGTAGGTATTTTGGGGCATGGGAGAGCAAACCAAATATGCCCTTTCCTATGTGGCCTCAGACGCCAGAGTTTTCTCCCAGTTCAAGAGGCTCCTCTCTGCACACGTCAGTAGCCTTGGAAACAGTGTTGCTCACTGCCTGTGTTTACCCGGCCCCACTCCTCTGGGAGATCCAAGCCAGGTGATCTGCTGGCGTCCCTCCTAATGACTGTGTTTCATCTGCAGGGCGAACTCTGTTGGAGAAGTTGTTCAGCCAGCAGGAGAACGGGCCTCCCGAGGAAGCAGAGAAATTTTGCTCCCGGATCATTGCCATGGGTCTTCTGCTTCCTTTTAGTGACTGCTTCAGGGAACCATGTCATCAGAATGCTCAGTCAAGTTCAGCTCCATTTGATGTAAGTAGATTTCACTTCTGCCGGTGGGTGGATTGCAGTCCAACTGTGATGTGTGTCTGTCTACTCACCCCATAATTTAAATACAGCATGTGACGCAAACTTCCCTCCCCTCAGCCATGTAACAGCTTAGTATGTCTACTTTTATGTTTTTCTTTTTGACAAGGGTATGCCTAAGTATATGTGCCAAATTTTATGTTTTTTAAAAACAGATGGCCACTTTTGACAGTTTTCTAGCCTGCACTAGGTGATTTTACAGTGGCTCTAAGTCAGGGTGTCTGACTTGGCTGATCATAGACATTCCTCCAGAAGCAGCTCCATAGGGGAAGACTGTTATTCCCAGGGGGCTGCAGTTTCCATGGGCCCTAGAATGCTATTTCAGGGCATTCCTAACTCATTTATTTACTAAATAGCGGCACGAAGCAGCATTGTCTGCTTTCTCCTCCAGCTGCCATTCACCAAGAGCGTTAATACTGTGGAAGAGTAATTCAGAAGGCATATTCCTAATTCATAACGAATATCTGGACAGTTGGATATCATTTTCAAGCCAGGGTATTGCTAATCTTTCTCAGGTATGTGCTGTATGCTGGCATTGGTTGTGATGAGCATGTATCTAATACTCAGGTACATAGAATTCTCATGTATGAACTTCTCAGAAGAAAACTCAAAGGTCTGGTGGCTTGGATGTGTGGAGCCTAGGCCTTGTATTTGAGGATAATGGAGTCTCTGTAGGGTTAGTTACTTGTTCTCGTGCTGCTGCCGTTTGCACCTCTTCTCTTACCAGCCTTCTTCTTGTATATGCTGTTGTTTAAGAAATGACATAATAACAAGTTTTGAAAGGCAATGAAAATGAATGCTAGCTGAGGTCGAGATATGATAGTTAATAAACTAGTGTCTGGATTTGCCTGTTTTCCCTCTTTTTTATTCATTAAAACTTATAGTCTTCCTCAGTTTCCCTTCAGTATTAGAAAAATACATCTCATAAAATATTGAGATTTTCTTGATACTTCCCATCTGAAAGAAAACTCCACAGGTTGTGCTGTGACATATGAAGCTTTCTTTTTCTTCTTTTTTTTTTGGAGAGCTATTTTTTTCTATAGGGCATGTGCACTTGCCAGAAAGACAAAAAGAAACAGAGAAACAGAAAGTGACAAATCACCCCCCAGAGGGGATGACCACACCGCAATCCCTCTCCTCAATTCTCTTCTCGGGATTTTGAGCACGCACACACACACGCACCCGGCACGAGTTTAAGCCACCAGGTCCAGGACTCGAACCATGGTTGACTACATGGGAGTCCAGCGACATAGCCATTACACCAACTACTGGTCCCAAAGCTTCCTTCTTTATATATATATTTTTAGTTTAATTGTTTTCCTGCTGTAATTTTGTTTAATGATACGGCAGCTAATCACTGCCAGGTAGATCTTTTTTCCTATGGAATAAACAATTTCCATTTTTTTCTTCCCCTCTCCTCTAAGAGAGATCTATGTTACTGTAGAAACAGAGCCTGAGGACTGTGGTGGGCTTAGTGTGCCAGAGCTGGGTGTACTAGAAGATCATATCAATTTGTCATGTTGGAATTATAGTACAGAGAAAGGCAAACACTAGCTGTGTCTAGTGATTGGTTTTTGATTAAAATGGTTTCTAAATTAACTGCATTTTTCTTCTGTTAATGCTCAGAAATGGTCTTATCATTCAGTAACTGTGCAGTTGGAATAAGTGGAAAAGAATAGGGAAGTCCTCTTCCTTGGGCTCTCTACTTTAATCAACTAACCTGGTTTCTGCACCTCACCTCACTTCATCCTTGTGTTAGGGTGAAGAGTAGCTCCTCCTGGCCATGGTATTTTGGAGGGCAGTTCAGTGTGGCATAGAGAGTAAAAAGCGAGCGCTAATAAGTTAAGTCTCTTAAAATTGTGTGAAGCAATTTATTCAGAGTGGAGAATTTCTTTTCCCAACTCGATGTGATTATGTTTTTTCCTTACTTTTTTTGTTGGATACTTCTCTACTGCCCCCACCAAACTGAACACAAATTAAAGACAAAATTAAAGATTTTCTTGTAAGAAACATTGTTCCACATCCTCAAGTAGTTCAGTAACAGAACTGTGCGTTTATTGGACACATAGTCAAGATTTTTTTTTTTTTTCAAAATCCAGAGGAATACTAATATAGGGGGTTATGAGGATAAGGTTTCAATGAGAGAGGGGAATAAATATGCTTATCTATGGGGAGAGAAGTTTCTGATAATTATTCTCTCTGCTGATTTCCAGAAGTTAGCTATTGGGAGTAATTTTGACCAACACTCCCTTCAATACAATTACCTGTGAGAATGTGCTCATAGCCGGCACTCGTACCCCAAACCCCTGCCTGACTGTGTCTTTCTTCCTTTCTTTCTTTTTTTTTTTTTAAATTATTTAACCTTATTTATTTATTTTAATTCAACCAGAGAGGGAGGGAGAGAGAGAGAGAGAGAGAGAGAGAGAGAGAGAGAGAGAAAGCAAGCCTCCAGGTTCGGGACTTGAACCTTGGTTGACCATGTGGGAGTCCAGCACCCTAAACCACCACACCAACTGCCAGCCCCTGACTGTGACTTTCTTTCAGCTCCTCATGCCTTTTCCTCTCTCACCTCTCTCCCTTTCTCTTCTTCCATTTCCTCTCTCCATTTACACATGTAATTAGAGCAATAAGTTTTTTTTTTTTTTCCAGAATTTTCTGCTATAGGGCATGTGTGCTTGCCAGAGAGACAGATACAGAGAGACAGAAAACAGGAAATCACACGATAGGGGGGATGGCCACACCACTATCCCTTCTCCTCCATTACTTCTCTCTAGATTTTGTGCATGCACGCACATGCACCCAGTGTGAGTTTCAAGCCGCTGGATCCAGGACTTGAACCCTGGTCAGCCATGTGGGATTCCAGTGTCTTCCCCCACCTGCCTGCCCCCAGGACAATAATGTTTTTTGATCTGGGGATTTTACTGATGGAGTTTAACGATTAATCTACTTCATCCAAGTCTTCTGATTTTAGTCCCATTTATTTTATTTTATTTTTTATATTTTTAGAGAGATTTTGCTATAGGACATGTATGCTTGCCAGAGAGACAGAGAGATAGAAAACAAATCACTGCCCCCAGGGGAATGGTCACACCTCAGTCCCTTCTCCTCCATTCTTCTCTAGGGATTTGGGGTACACATGTACATGTTCCCAGTGCAAGTTTTAAGCTTCTGAGTCCAGGACTTGAACCGTGGTCAGCCATTTGGGAGTCCAGCAGCATACACATTACCCTATCTGGTTTCTGCACCTGTTTCTAGTCCCATGTTTTTAAAAATATATTTTAGGGTTAACAATTTGCTTTGTAGAAGGCTATAGAAAATAAGAGAGAATTTTATATTCACTCTCACATTTTGACTAAAGGTTTCAAGAGCTCTAAAAGACAAAGATAACTTTATCATGATAATTCATTCACGAATGTTTACTGAATATTTTCTTCTTGCCAGGTAATGCTTTAGACTGTGAAAATACTGTGAGTGAGCATGAGAAATCAGGTTCCTGTCCTCCTATAATGTATATTCTATTCAGGATGACGAGAGACAGAAAACAGGAAAAAAAATCTCAAGAGTAGGTTTATTAATTGCTATCAGAAAATAAGTGCTATGAAGGATATGATAGAGTGCATGGAATCACCCCTAAGCAGGGATGGAAATGACACAACCTCTTCTCCTACATTGTCCTCTCGGGATTTTGGGCATGCATGCACATGAGCCTGGCATAAGTTTCAAGCCACCAGATCTGGGACTCAAACTGTGGGGGCCATGTGGGAATCCAGTGCCTTAACCACTATACCATCTGCTGGTTCCTCAGTGTGGTTTTCAAGCTGCTGAGTCCAGGACTCAAACTATGGTCAGCCATGTGGAAATCTAGTTCCTTAACCATCACACCAGCTCTGGTCCCAAGGGGAGTCTTTTTAATGACCCATCTAGGCAGTTCATGGACAAGTACAGAAAGGTCTGGAAGGAGCACAATACGAGCACAGTTTGAGGGATGGGAGTAGTTGAAGCTTGGTGAGATGAGAACAAAAAGTTTCCAGGAGCAGAAGGGGAAGACTCTTGAAAAAATGTAGTGTTTTTGTTTTGTTTTGTTTTGCTTTGTTTTTAAGCAGGAACTTTTGGGAAGTTTTGTGGCAGGAAAGAATGTATTTGTTTTATATTTCATGAAGTTCACTTTACTTGGTCTTAATAGAGTAGGGGAGCAGAAGCAGAAGCTGGAACAGTAGGCTGTCTTAATAGTTGAGTGACAGATGGTAGGAGTGGCTTGGAGCAGGATGGTGGCAAGGGAGATGGGAGAAGTCAGTAGGTTGGGATGGATTCTGTAGGGAGAACTATTGGGACTTCTGGCAGGTCAGACATGGTGTCAAGGGAAAAATAAGAAATCAAGGATGACTTTGGGTTTAGCTGATGGTTGTACCACTCACTGAGATGGGGAAGATAGGTCCGTTTCAGGAGGATAATGTTCTAAGGACAGAACTGGTGCACATTCTATGCGTTTCTTGAGTAAAACGTCAATTATTTAGAAAACAAAACACCTGGCTTATTACCTGACAAACATTAACTTTTGCCTTTTGCTGAGTAGAATTATAGATCCCATCAAATGGGGCCATGAAATTATTAAAATTATTTCAGCCACTAAAAGTACTCATATTGGCCTTCATAAAACAAACATAAAAACGTAGTGTCAAAAAACAAAAACAAAAACAAAAACCGTAGTGTCATTGGGATTAGCAGTTAGCATAATGGGTATGTTGCTGGACTCCCATGTAGTTGACAGTGGTTTGTGTCCCAGACCCGGTGGCTTAAAATTCACGCCAGGCGCGTGTACGTGCGTGCCCAAGATCCCAAGAAGAGAATGGAGGAGAAGGGATTGCGGCATGGCCATCCCCCCTGGGGGGTGATTTCTCACTTTCTGTTTCTATGTCTCTTTCTGTCTGTCTGGCGAGCACAAGCAC